CTTTCCCTGTCCCAATCCTCCATGGCACCACCCTTGGCCTCTGTTCTTCTCACACCATATACCTCCCTGGCAGGCACCATCTATACCCACAGCTTCCATGCCCACGTCTACACTGATGACTCTCTAGTCCTGGTCCATACCTATCTCTTGACCCCTGGTTCCAAACATTCAGTGCCCACTCACATTTCTTTGTAGATATTTCTCAGACACTTCAAAATCCACTGACTTCCCAGCTGAACTCATCCTTCCCTTCCCTCCCTCAACTCTGGCCCTTACTGTCCTTCCCTTGAGGAAGCGGCAGGACCACAACTCAGCTGTCCTAATCCCTTCCCTTGTACTCCAGCCCTACATATGACCCCCAAAGTCCTGTGGAGTTTTCCCTCCTTAATATTTATCTCACCCAGCCCCTCCGTACACATCGCTGCCTGGAACCAGGCTGTCACCACGCCTTGCCTGGGTGATACAATGTCCTCACCCAGGACATCTTGATGCTTCCTGTGTGACCCCCCCAGTCATCCTTTTACATGGCTTTCAAGGTGACCAGACTACATCATAAAACTGCTCCTTTAATGCCTCTTTGCAATTTCCAGGGTGAAGTCCAAATTCCTGAACTTAACACATACAGCAGAACTTCATAATCTGGGCCTCACTCCCCTACTCAGTTTCACATCCTGCCTCTCCCCACATGCAAATACTTTTGCACATTCTGTTCCCTTTGCCTAGGACACCCTTCCTACTCTCTTAGTTAGAATTTTTTTTTTTTTTTTTGGTGGTAAAATAGACGTAACATTAAAAATTTACCATTCTAATCCCATTCTCTTTGTCTACCTCCTTCCTGCTACTTGTCCTTTGAATTTAACAGAAGTGACCTTTTTTTTTTTCTTGGCTCAATGCAACCTCCACCTCCGGGGTTCAAGCGATTCTACTGCCTCATCCTCCTGAGTAGCTGGGATTACAGGCACACGCCACCACGCCCAACTAATTTTTGAATTTTTAGTAGAGACGGGGTTTCACCATGTTGGTCAGGCTGGTCTTGAACTCCTGACCTCGTGATCCACCTGCCTGGACTTCCCAAAGTGCTGGGATTACAGGTGTGAGCCACCACACCTGGCCGGAAGTGACCTCTTTTGAAAAAACCCTTTCTGAGTCCTCAGCCTGGGTTAGATGCCCTCCTCCTTTGCTACTGATCTCATAGTCCTTATCACTTTGTACTGTGTTAGCTTATGTTTCTATTTACAGACTCCCTAAGACAGTGTCTGTATCTTAACTTTGTATCCCCAGGGCTGCAGTGTACAGTTGTATAGGTTATGCACTGGGAGAGGAGGCCTGGCTAAGGAAGTGAGCAGGGGATGAAGGCCATTAGTCAACTGTGCACCTGGTACAGGCCTGCATCCAGACCGTTTTCTAATTTGCACAAAGGTGCTTGTGTGACATCAGTGGGCCCTGTGTACCCCCCGTGCTTGTTGTAGAGTTGGCACACATAGTCTTACAATAAGTGCTCATTAAATGTTGAGTAAAGATGGCTGGATGTTCCAGGCAAAGGTAGCAGGGGTAGAGATAGGGGGAAATCTGGCATAATAGGGTGGTATTGGATATTCAGTATTGACTTAGGGGGGTTGCAGCTAGTTGGCAGAGGGTCCCTTATGTTGGGCTGAGGGACTAACTCTTTAATTCAGGAAGCAGTGAAGAACTTTGTGAATTTTTGATAGGACTGTGATATAGAATTTCAAAATATTCAGGCTTGAAAATGAGACTCAGAGAAGTAAAGTGACTTGTTCAAGGACACACAGAAAGTTAGAGGCAGGGCCCAGACTTGAACTTGCTTTTCCTGCTCCTAGCTCAGTACAGGTCTGGGGAGCTGCACTCTGGGATACCTCTCAACTGAGGCTGAGCCCTCTAAGGCTCAAAGCCAAATCTTCCCAGCCTTGGAGACTCTATCTCTTCCCGGACACATGTTCCTGGACGTGGTGGGTAGATGGACGACAGCCAGGCAGATGGGAGGTGAGGACAGTTAGGTCTCGAGACCACTGCAGTCCATGGTTCGGCCTCATTCATGGCGCACCACTTGTTCTGTCCTCAGAATATTTACCGACTTGAAGGCATGGCAAATTACCCATGCTTTTCTCTTCTTCCCACAGGTAAGCACTCTAGTCTTTTCACTACGAGCTATCTCCCTCCTTACAAATCTCTTGGTTGCTCATCTCTGGACCTGGGCTAGTTTTTTCAGTTTCTCTCTTTCTTTCTCTCTCTCTCTCTCTTTCTTTCTCTCTTTCTTTCTTTCTTTTCTGAGACAGAGTCTTGCCCTGTTGCCCAGGCTGGAGTGCAATGGAGCAATCTTGGCTCACTGCAACTTCTACCTCCCAGGTTCAAGCATTTCTCCTGCCTCAGCCTCCTGAGTAGCTGGGATTACAGGTGCGTGTCACCATGCCTGGCTAATTTTTTGTATCTTTAGTAGAGACGGGGTTTCAGCATGCTGGCCAGGCTCGTGTTGAACTCCTGACCTCGTGATCTGCCCATCTCGGCCTCCCAAAGTACTGGGAATACAGATGTGACCCACTGCACCCAGCCAGATTCTTTCAAAACCACTTTTTGCCCCTAGCTGAAGGGGACTTGACTGTGGCAGGTCTTAAGAAGTGTGTGTTGAGTTGGACTGGTTTGAGTGTGGACAATGATTTGAACCCAGTGGTCGCCCTGAAGGTTTGCCTTTTGGGCAGGTGCTTTTTGGTGCTATGGGGCTACAAGACACCTCTCATTTGCTCTTTTACAAGGAGCGTTCATTGATGATCTTCCCCGAGCTCCCGGGGTCTCCTCCTGACTTATGTGCTCCTTCCCTGGCTTTTCTTATTTTGTTTCTCTGTAGCTCATTTCTGGACTCTGAATAAATTATTTAATCATTTTTATCTTCACTCTGAGTCTGAAGAGCCATTTCTCTAATTTTTTTTAGAGAGATTTGACTTGTCAATCTTTATCCCAGGATGGAAGCGCTGTCCTTTGGCACTCATGATGATATAATAATAATAACGATGACATTATGCTAAATTATTTATTGAATATATACTATGATCCAGATACTGTGCCTGCTGCTTTATAAAAATCAGCTCACTTAATCCTCACAACAATCCCATGGAATAGAGCTATTATTGGCCCCACTTTACAGATGAGGAAATGGAAGCACAACACAATCAAATAACTTGCCCAAGGTCACCCAGCTGAAATTTGTGCCCAGGCCAGTGACTTCAGAGCTTGTGGTTACATCGGGATACCACGCAGCCCCAGTAAATAAACTCTCAGGCACATTCTCAGGTCACAGATAAGACAGATTGCAGGGTAGTGACTGGGAGACTCACATCGCCGGTGGGTGGGCAACCACCAGTCTCAGGCTGAGTCTTCCCTAACCAGCTACAGCCTCCTGCAGGATGGACCTGCAATCCCAACAACCCGAGGAGAACAAAGCTTGTCCATGAGGCCCAGCTGCATGGCAGGTAACTCCTCCACAGCCATGCCTATACCATTCCACTCCATCACAAGAGGCTCTGTAATTGATCTGACATAATTAGCTCTTTACTAAGTCATCATAATTTCCAGTGTGCAGTGACAAACCCATTGATGGATGATTTTACTCCACAGCTTGCCTAGGTATGAACTTAAGTGCAATTAACTGTCATTAATTGATGGAACACTTTTTTTCTTTAAATACATAAAAGAGATGGACTCCACACTTATCCCTTCTCTGCCTTCTCAAGGCTTGAAAGATAAGCATAGAGGTGCTGTCAGAAGCCAGTTCCTTAAGTACTCCAAGCTGGGTGCCAACAGCATTTGAATATACTCATCTTCCTTGTTTTAAGTTTGGCTTCCTAACTGTCTGTTCCACAGGCAACCTTTTCTGACTTTTTAGTAAGGGCTGAGATAACCAAATGAATTAAAAGCCTCAGATTTTTTTATTTTATTTTTTTTGAGACAGAGTCTCACTTTGTCATCCAGGCTGGAGTGCAGTGGCACAATCTCGGCTCACTGCAACCTCTGCCTCCTGGGATGAAGCAACTCTCCTGCTTCAGCCTTCCGAGTAGCTGGGATTACAGGCATGCACCACTATGCCCAGCTAATTTTTGTATTTTTAGTAGAGATGGGGTTTCACCACATTCGTCAGGCTGCTCTTGAACTCCTGACCTCAAGTGATCTGCCCACCTCAGTCTCCCAAAGTGCTGGGATTGCAGGTGTGAGCCATCACGCCTGGTCAAAAGCCTCTGATTTTTCCACTCTTTCTCCACTGATTTTCCACTATTCCACAGGACCTGGGACCCAGTGTTGGGGGTAGGGCCGTGGCCTTGCTCCACACCAGGCAGACTGTCAGTGCTTTTGATTTTACACCAGAGCTTCTCTTCACTGGGGTGGAAAATTGAGAGGTGGCTGCAGAACTGAGAAATATTTCCCTGTTACCCTTTTCTTAGACACAACTTGGCTCAACTCTCAAGAGAATAAAAAAATTCCCCATCAGGCATAGGGTATATATATAAATATTTTTGAGACAGAGTTTTGCTGTCGCCTAGGCTGGAGTGCAGTGGCGCGATCTCGGCTCACCACAACTCCGCCTCCTGGGTTCAAGCAATTCTCCTGCTTCAGCCTCCTGAGTTGCTGGGATTACAGATACATGCCACCATGCCTCGCTAATTTTTGTATTTTTAGTAGAGACGGGGTTTCACCATGTTGGCCAGGCTAGTCTCAAACTCCTGACCTCAGGTGATCCACCCACCTCAGCCTCCCAAAGTGCTGGGATTATAGGCGTGAGCGTGGCCCATATGGTACTCTTAAGGTCCCACATGCTTTTTAATATTTAGGTTTATCTTTCCATCATTTTGGGTTTCTGTCCCTTCATTCCTCAGTCCCCCAAATTCCTGCATGTGACTCCTAGGAACAAAGCCAGAGGGTAAATACTGTTTCCCTGTGGTGACAGGAACAGCAGGGGGGACAGACAGCAGCTGGCTGCCAGCCAGCTGACTCACCATGGTTTATCCCTTGATCCTTTCGCAGGAAAGACTGTGTGCTGTTTGCTGCTGGAGGTAAGTAGATTGTCTTTGGGCGTTTTGAATGGCTTTGAGGTGCTGCTGGCAGAGTGATGGCCGCTGAGACAGGCTTTTGTTTTCACCTGTACTAGTGATGTCCTGGGATTGGAGGCTGGAGACACTGGAGAGGGAGAAGGTCTACACATTGAACCGTGTCTTCTCTCTACAGGGGCAGAAAGTAGAGAACTCAGCACAGCATCTGTAGCAGGTGAGGCTCTCACACACTCACATACACTCAAACACACAACAGGCAGAGAGAAGCACTTTCCCTGCAGCATCGGCATCCCTGAAGCCTAGGTTCTGATGAGACGATTTGTCTTGACATATGCTCCTATTCCACCAGCTAGCAATACTTATGTTCTGGGTTTCTGTATCAAATGGCGTGCTCAACTAACATCAAGGTTCTCGCGGAAGGCATTTACCAGGTCATCTTTCTGCAAAACTACTTCCACAGGAGTAGCAGAGGGACACCAGGTATCACCTGAACAGTGGGATAACCCCACATAGCCAAAGCAATTCCTAGACAGCTACACAGAGGCCACAGGTCCATCAGAGCAGTGGACAGGGCAGGACTCTCAACAAACAGGAAACTCTCGAACCTGACGCTCTGCAGGAGCACTAAAGTAAGAGGGACCAGCAGGCTTGAATCAAAGGGACTTTGCGAGCGAGGAAGTGGCCCAGCAGCTGTCCTGGGACTGAGAGGACAGTGTCGACACACCCCTGCTATGGCCTCCGCGGGGTCCACAGAGGGCCACATGCAGGAGGATGTCAATGCTTGAGCCAGAATCTGCAATGTGGGGCATGGACTTGGGCCGGCGAGCACAACTTCCTGAGGTTCTACAGAGAATACCAGAGCTCTGGGCAGAGATGCGTCACTTGTTCACGTTCTGTTAGCCCCTGTGCTTTCGACTGAATGGGCAGGATGAGGATACTGACCAGGACAGCAGATGCATGAAGTAAAGTTTTAGTGTGCACCCACTATGGGGTTCTTAACTGTTTTAGAGTAGCGAATCTGATAAAAATGTAAGACCCCAGCAAAATGCACTTTTACACCTATCCAAAAACTTTGTACATGATTACAGGAAGGAATCCCAAACCCTAAAAAAGACAAAGCTTCCTGAAATCCTAAGTCCTCTCTGGCTTTCTTATGTCTCACATATAATTAGTGCTTAATTAACATGTGTTGAATAAATAAATGAAATTATAACAGATCTCCTGAACTAGAGATCACAGATCTGAAAATCTGGCTGAATTTGATAATGCAAAATGTGACAGACAAAGATGGCAGATCATTCTCTCTCCAGCCCAAAGCTGAGCCTAGCCTTCTCTCATTAGGGCACCTTTCCTGGATGCTTTTGCAGGCACCCTGACCTGGGAGACGCAAGCCCCCACCTGTGGCCAGCTGCGACAGGAGTCTGGGGTTTCTCTGTGCTCCCTTGTACCAATGGGTTGCCAGGCTGTCTCAAAGCAGACTGAATTTAGTCTTCTGATGCAATGGGAATTAGGAGGAAGCAGATTTTTGAGGATCATTCAATTGCTGCATTTTTTTTTGCTTGACCAATGCTCATGTGCTGCCTACACAGAATAAATTTACAGGGTACTTTTTCCTCATTGAATCAGAATAGACCTTTGCATACAGCTTAGTTCTCAGAAGCTATCCTGTTGAAGCTTTTGAAAACAAAGAGCTAGTTCTGAGGCCTCTGTTTTGAGGGCTGGGAGCCGGGAGACCTGGGCTCCCGCTCTAACCACCCATATACAGTATTAGGCTTGGGCCTTCAGTTTACCACTGAAACTTCCTTGGTTCCTTTATCTGTGAATGAAGTGGGTCCCTAGATGGCTTCAAAGCCTCCTTCCACTCAATCACCATAAATACAAGGGATACTTATACCTGTTCCTTCCCTTCTCATCCCTCATGATTCCTGGATGTCAGAGCAATAATAACAGCCGAAGTATTGAACAATTTTACTCAGGCGAGATCTTCCTTGGAGGAATTCATCCTTTGTAAAATTGTACTGGCCTTTACAACCCCTGTGAGACAGGCAGGAAGCAGCCAGGCATCTCCACCCTCCTCACGGCTGACTGGCCAAAGGAGACCCAGAGAGGTGAGATGATTGCCAAGGTCAGGGCTACTCAAGGATCAGGGTGCCTCTGCGCCAAGTACATGGGCCTAGCTGCCTCTCAGGAAGGCAGGAAACTAGGTGAATAACGTTCGAAGCCAGGAAATTAGAAAATGCAGAACTTAGAATCACTAAAGGTTACAATTGGATCTTAAAAGTCAACTAGTGTGATCTTTCTGATAGATGAGGTTATCAGTTGCCAGCCTTCGGGTTAAAGCTAGTTAGCGGCAATCCTGAGACTAGAACCAAGTCTCCTAACTTCAAGTCTATCAACGTTCTGCCTCTCAGAAATGTCTTGTTTAGCAATTTGTTTTTTGGCAGAGGCTTCCAATATGAAAATAAGACTTGATTTTTACCATTACTGCTTTAGATGTTTCTGCAGTCTTCATTCACTCCCTTGCTATCACTGACTCAAAGCTGCTGGTGGGTGGGTGGGGCATGTACAGAAATATTTTTTGGTTTAGGTGGGGAGATAAACCTGAATAATGAAGATACATTTTATTTTACTAAACTAATTGTTAAAAAGTATGCAAGTAAACAAAGATAAATCACAAGGAAGGGTGCCATGAAGGACAAAATAAATGGGCCAGGCCAGTGATTCTACAATCACCTTCTGAAAGAATTCTGGTTAGTGGTCCTGGCTGACACATTCTGCTGCTAAATTTACAAAAAAAAAAACTTTTTTTTGAGACAGAAAAAAAACTCTGTTACCCAGGTTAGAGTGCTATGGCACGATCATGGCTTACTGCAACCTCTGCCTTCCAGGTTCAAGTGATCCTCCCAATTCAGCCTTCTGAGTAGCTGGGACTACAGGCGTGTGCCACCACATCCGGCTAATTAATATTATTTTTTGAGACACAGTCTTGCTCTGTGGCCCAGGCTGGAGTGCAGCGGCAGGATCTCATCTCACTGCAACCTCCACCTCAAGCGATTCTCTTGAGCCTGGGAGAATCAAGGCTGAAGATTCTCACAATCTCAGTCTCCCAAGTAGCTGGGATTACAGGCATGCAACATCATGCCTGACTAATTTTTATATTTTTAGTAGAGATAGGGTTTCATCATGTTGGCCAGGCTAGTCTTGAACTCCTGACATCAAGTGATTTGCCCATCTCGGCCTCCCAAAGTGCTGGGATTATAGGCATATAGGCATGAGCCACTGCACCTGGCCCTAGTTAATTATTAATTAAAACTTTTTTTTGGTAAGGCCAGGCATGGTGGCTCATGCCTATAATCCTGGCACTTTGGGTGGCCAAGGTGGGTGGATCACTTAAGCCTGAGAGGTGGAGGCTACAGCAAGTTGTGATTGTACCAGAGCACTCCAGCCTGGCAACAGAGCAAGAATCTGTCTCAATTTGTTTTTGTTTGTTTGTTTGTTTGCAGAGACTAAGTCTCTCTAAGTTCCCAGGCTGGTCTTGAACTCCTGGGCTCAAGAGATCCTCTTGCCTTGGCCTCGCAAAGTGTTGGGATTACAGATGAGCTACCACATCTGGCTTACAAAACAACTGTATCAGTGGATAAGTCTTTTTCTTGGTTTCATATTTTATTTTTTGAGACAGTCTCACTCTGTTGTCCAGGCTGGAGTGTAGTGGCGTGATCTTGGTTCATTGCAAACTCCGCCTCCAGGTTCAAGCAATTCTCCTGCCTTAGCCTCCTGAGTAGCTGGGATTACAAGTGCACACCACCACGTCTGGCTTATTTTTGTATTTTTAGTAGAGATGGGGTTTCACCATGTTGACCAGGCTGGTTTCAAACTCCCGACCTCAAGTGATCCGCCCGCCTCAGCCTCCCAAAGTGCTGGGATTACAGGTGTGAGCCACCGCGCCTGGTTTCATATTTTAGATTCAGAAACTTGTCTTAAATTGCCAATTGAAAGAACAAGTTGCAATGAGGGAATATTAATTAAAACCTGAAGACAGCCCTTTGCCCTTAATATAAGTTTTTTTTTCAGTTGTTTGATGTCTGATTTTGTATTGCAATAAATAGGCAAAAGCAGTATTTCCTACTTGTGAAACGGTTTGAATTAAATCAGAAGGGCTCTCACAACCCTTGAGCTATGGGAACAAGCTTGCCCCCTACTGGTGCAGGTGAGAAAGGTTGTATAAGAATTTAAAAGCCCGGCGCAGTGGCACACATCTGTAATCCCAGCACTTTGGGAGGCTGAGGCGGGAGGATCACCTGAGGCCGTGAGTTTGAGACCAGCCAGACCAACATGGGGAAACCCTGTCTCTACAAAAAATACAAAATTAGCTGGGCATGGTGGCACATGCCTGTAATCCCGGCTACTTGGGAGGCTGAGGCAGGAGAATCGCTTAACCCAGGAGGTAGAAGTTGCTGTGAGCCAAGATCGTACCATTGCACTCCAGCCTGGGCAACAAGAGTGAAACTCTGTCTCAAAAAAAAAAAAAAAAAATTAAAGTGGAGGGACCAATAGAGTCAGTGGTCAGGGGTTCACTCTGGAGGTGAGCTGTAGCTAAGCTTTTGAAAATGGGTAGAACTGATGTCCCAGGTAGGGCAGAGTGAGTGGATTTTACAAAAAGACCTATTCAATCTGTTTCTCCAGTCTATGAAGACCTGCCTGTAGTGGACTTACACAGTTTTGTGTTGGTGAGGAGGTGTGTTAGGTTGGTGATAGGAGAAGGCAGGGTCTTATCTCTTGCAAAAAGATGCTGCTGAGCGAAGCTCTCCGGCTGTACATTACAATCATTTGGATACAAGCCCTCACCCACTTGAGGCTTAATCATGTCTTATGTTTTCATTAAGGGACTGCCTAAGGTAGATCCCTATAATTATTCTAATTCCATTTGCCCTGCCCAGAAAGAATTTGTAGTACATTATATCCCTCACTCATTGTTAAAATATTTAATACGTAAGCAATTTTAGAGAAAAAGAGCACTTTCCTCTACATTTTCTTAGTCTTTGTTAATGCATATAGCTTTATTAACAAAACTGTAATCAATGGATATTTTGACTATTCTTTGTCAACTAACATTCTACATATACATATCAAATTCCCACAAACTTGCTAAACTGTTAGGTAATATTCAAT